TTAACTGATTTTCGGATGTTGAACCCCTTGTGCCCCTGGTATAAAGCCCACTTGGTCATGCTTTTAATGCATTGTTGGATTCTGTTGGCTAAGATTTTAAATTTTTTGCATCAGTGTTCAATAGGGAGATTAGTCTGAAGTTTTCTTTTTTTGTGTTGTCTTTGTTAGGTTTTGGTATTAATGTGATGTGGGCTTTATAGAATGTATTTGGTAGTTTTCCTTCTTTCTCGGTTTTTTGAATGAGTTTGTGTAGAATAGGCACTAGTTTGTTTCTGGACATTTAGTAAAATTCATTTGCAAATCCATCTGGTCCTGGGCTTTTACTCTTGGAGAGGGTTTTAATTACTTCTTCAATTCAATTACTGCTTCAATTCACTGTTTTTAATTGGCCTGCTTAGTTGTTCTATTTCTTCTTTATCTAGCGTTGGATGATTGTAGAGTTATAGGAATTTGTCCATTCTAGATTGTTGAACTTGTTTGCATATAGCTGTTCATAGTATTGTCTGATTATTCTTTTGTGATTTCTCCTCTTTCATTTATGATCCTGTTTATTTGTGCTTTCTCCTGTTTTTCCTTTGTGAGCTGGCTAGAGGTTTGTCTATTTTGTTTACTGTTTCAAAGAGCCAACTTTTGGTTTCACTGTTTTTTTATATAGTTTTCCTAACTTCTATTTTATTTATTTCTGCTTTCACTTTTATTATTTCCTATCTTCTATTGGCCTTTCGGTAATTTTGTTCTTTTTTCAGTTCTTTAAGGTGGAGATAAGGCTGTCTCTTTGAGTTGTTTGTTTCTTTATGTGAGCCTGTATTGCTATATATTTTTCGCTGATAGCTGCTTTTAATGTGTCCCATAAGTTTTGGAGAGTTGTGTCCTCATTGATGTTCTTTTAAAGATATTTTAAAATTTCTTCCTTGATCTTCTCATTGATCCAGTGGTCCTCCTGTAGTGTAGGTTTCAATCTCCACGAGGTAGGTGAGTTTCTTGACATCTTCACATGGTTTATTTCTAGTTTGATTTCTTCATGGTCAGAGAAGATAGCTGGAGTGATTTCGATCTTTGTGTGTGTCTCTACTGATATTTGTCTTGTGGCCCAGTATGTGATTAATCCTTGAGAATGATCCATGTGGATTTGAGAAAAATGTGTACTCAGTTTTTTGTTTTTGTTTTTATTTTGGAGGGGGGTGCAGTGTTTTATAGATATCTGTTAGACTTATAGGTCTAGGTCCTTGTTTAGAGCGTTAGTGTCCTTGCTTATTTTTTGTCTTGTTGATCTATCTATAGTTGAGAGTGGTGTATTGAAGTTTCCTATTACATATGCATTTTCTCTAGTATATGTTTTCATAGATAACAATAGTTTCCTGATATACTTTGGTGCTCCTTCATTTGGTGCATATATGTCTATGAGCAATCTGAAAGCAATCTCTCTTCATTTGTGAGAATTATAAACTGCAATTGATAACCACACCCTTTTTTGCCCCTCCCTAGTAAGTTTTTTTTTTTATTATCACCAGTTAGCTTACTCATTCCTAGTAAACTTGATGAGTATTAATGTCTTCTTGCCGTATTGTCCCCTTATTCATAATGTAGTGGCCACCCATATCTCTTTTAACCTGTTTTAGTTTGAAGTCTATTTTATCTGATATAAGAATAGCTGTTCCTCCCTTCTTTTTTGATCCATTTACTTGTAAGATTGTTTTCCATCCTTTTACTTTCAATCTATTTTTATATTTTGTAGTTAGATGTGTTTCCTGGAGACAGCAAAAGGTTGGGCTATTTTATAATTCAGTCTGCAACTCTATGTATTTTTATTGATGAATTCAAACTGTTTACATTTAGAGTTAATATTTGCCATTTGGTTTGTATTTTTGTGCTTTTATTCCTTGTTTTGATCCGTTCTTATTCATCTCTCTGTTGGCTTTGGTTTAAGGACATCTTGTAGTACTTTTTGGAGTGGGGGTTTAATCGTGACAAAATCGTGGAGTTTCTGCTTGTCTATGTCCTTATTCTTTCTTCGTAGAGGAAGGAGAGCTTTGCAGGAGAAGGTATTCTTGGTTAGCATTTGATGTCTTGGAGTTTGCTGAATATGTCCCTTCACTCTCGTTTTGCCTGTAGTGTTTCTTTGGAGAAGTCTGAGGTCAGCCTGATTGGTTTTCCTTTGTAGATTATTTGTTTCTTCCCTCTTACCAACCTCATTATTTTTTTTCATTCTCTTGGATTCCTGAGATATTTATTATTATGTGTCTTGCTGTATTTCTCCTTTCATCATGGTAGTTTGGTGTTCTTGCTTCTTGTATGTCTATTTTCATCTTCTTCACACATGGGAAGTTCTCAATTATCTCTGTGAATATATTCTCCATTCCTTGGCCTTTCTTCTCACCTTCTGGGAGACCTATAACTCTGATTATTTCCTTTTCTCATGGTGTCAAATAGCTCTCAGAGTGTTTCTTCATTCCTTTTCCTTTTTACTTCTCTTTCCTTTTTCTTTTGATTCTCTTTATTTCTGTGCCTTCGAGGGCACTGATTCATTCTTCCATTTAATCTATTCTGTTTCATTGCTTTTCCCAGAATTCTTTATCTCTTCCAGTAGTCTTTTAATTTCCTGTGTTCCTTTTATTTCTTTCTTTAATGTCTCATTTTCATTCTTCAGTTCACTATTTGTCTAACATCATTTTATCCCTTTTCTTCTTCTTTATGTTTGTTAATCATGATGATTCTAAATTCCCTATTTGACAGGATGAACAGTTCTTCTATATCACTGTTTATTTTTGGTGACTGATCTTTTTGTAGTGAAGTTTTCCTCTGTGGGCTTTTTTATGTATTTGTATTTTTTCTTCTCCCATCATTTATTTCTTAATGATTTCTATGCACTGAGACACTGTGTTGATAGTATTGGTCAGCATTTCTTCTGGGTACTCCTTCTGGGGTGGCCAACGACTGCCATTCAGACCAGGTCAAGGACTAATGTGCCAACCCGCCACAAGAGTGATGATTTTGTGAGTATGGTGGTGAGTTTGAGTGTCATATCTGGTGACTCCCTCCCTCTGTGTGTCCACTCTTCTAAGGGGGAATGGTGAGATTCCTAGTGCTGTGCTGGATTTCGAGTTTTCCAAAGACCACTAAGGAGCCAATTCTGATGCAAAGCACACAAAGGTCTTTATTGCAAGCTTGAGCCTGGGCTCCCAACATGCATGGAGGACGCAACGGCTGAAGTTGAGAGCCCCGAACTCAGGGAAGGCAGGGTTTTCATTACAGAAGAGGAGAGTTTCAGCCCAGAAGGGGGGAGTTTTTGCTCAGCAGTACATTGATTGGTGGACATTGAACAAAGTTATCTTGTTTTAACCCTGTTGGTCTATGCATATAAGATGTGAACTTCACTCCTCGGCCCCCATACCTTAGGACACCTGGCATTTTCCTGATATGTACTGGTTACTTGCCTACATGCTAATTGGCTGTTGCTATGGGATAAGCAAGATTAGGATATTTACAGTTAAACTGGCCTTGGCCCCTTGTTGATAACCGAAAGGTAGGCCTGGCTGGTTCAGAAGCATTCTGAAGTCTGTCATGGCGTCAGTTTGGTCATTCACTAGCTTGTGATTGTGATTGGGGAATGCATGTTGTTATTGGTGGTGGTCTCTCTGTTGCCCAATTTTGTTACATGGGGCTTTGTGCTCCTGTTGGCAGTGTCCCACCCCTGGATGAGGTACTATTTGCTGGTAGTGGGGGCTCTGCCACTGCCCAACTTCTGGTTATGACCAGGGGCTGTGCACTGCCCATTACCGTGCACTGCTATGCACTGCCTGTTCCAGCAGGCTGCTGCAATGCTCTGCCACTCTTCCTGCTAATGGCTGGGAGCTGTGCACAGGCTGGCACCAAGTGCCCCACACTCCCCCCACCCCACCTTGGGGAGTGAAAACCCAAGGCACCCTGTTTAAGCTGGGGACTGCCTGTTTCAGCAGCTGTGGCTTATTCTGGCAAGACTAAGGCCAGGTGTTGGGTGCTGGCTGCCCTGTTTGGTTTCCACTACCAGAGAACAGCTGCTCAAGGTGGTAACCCTTCCTCTGGCTGTGTCAGGGGCCCCAGTGTTCCTGCAGGCTGCAGCCAAGGCCCGGGCCTGCCCCCAACAGTGAGTCTTATCCTTCCCTCACGTCTCATCCCCATGGATTTACTGCAGTCCCGCTCCACTCCCGGCCACAAATCAACCCACTGATGTTTGTTTCTCCTTCTAGGGTTTTCAGATGCCTCAACTTTTCCCAGTTGCTTTCAGGTTTTTTCTCCTCCTTTTCTTTCCTTGGTGGAGGTGTTCCGGGTGTGTAGGTGGGGGAGGGAAGACGGGTCCTGGCCAGTATCTCCACTTCTTCCTTCCTCCATTGCTCTCACCTTCCTTCTGTTTCCCCTGGGTGGACAATCCTGTTCAAAACGTCTGGGTCTTGGCTGGAGTAAATAAGAGTTCTCCTGTATTTACTCTATCCAAGAGAGAACTTGACCCCAGCAATTCTTTGCCACCGTGTTCGTGCTGTCACCCTGTTCCAGTCCTTTCTACTGAATGAATTTACACCTGTGGTCGACAATACCCAGATTGAGGAATAAAAGCTTAGTAGAAGACCCCCTTAAGCTCCAAGTGATAGAAAATCACTACACCCCAACATAACTGCTGTTCTAATGTCTTTCATCATTGACTAGTTTTGCTGTTTTTGGATTTTATAGAAATTGAATCACATGCGAGGTATTCTCAGTTACTCTTGTTTAATTTTTACTTATGAGATCCACAAACTATACAAGTTCTTTCTACTATACTATTTTATTTCCCTCCTAAGATTGAGATCACCATGGTAACAAATTCATTTTGCCAAATAAATGAATGAGCCATTATTGAAACCTATTTAGAAAACTGCAGAGTCAGAGTGAGCAAGCTAAATGGCAATTAAAAAAACAAATGACTAGGGAGGGAAAAGCAAAGGGTATGGTTATCAGTTGTGGTTTATAACTCTCACGCATGAAAAGAGGTTGCTTTTAGAAAGGTTCTCTGCTCTGAAGAAGGTCTGCTACTTCCCAGCTCTTCTTTTATTAACATGACCGGCAAGAAAGTAATTGTAGTGTTTGGAGCAACAGGTAAACATCTCCTAATTTTATAAGTGTATGCTGAGTTTGCTTGCTTTTCTGTCTTTCTGCTTTTAACTGCAGAACCTGCAAGTGTGGGCTGAAAAAGAGTACTTTGGAGGAAATTTAGACAGTTTCTGAGATGGTAAAGGGGCAGGGTGATTTCACCTCATTTGGCAGATAGGACCTCAAGTGACATACTCTCTTTCCTGATCATATGCTGACTTGTAGACATAAGTTTCATTTCCACACAAGCTTTACTCTGGAGACTTTTTTGCACCCCATGCCTGCCAAGCGAAAGGAGCAAATGTGAGACACAGGCATATGAAGGGAATTTCCACACGGCAGACCAATAGCCTAGAAGGCTACGAGGATGGAGTGGTGGCCGTTATAAGAATGTGCTGAGGTTTTCTCTTACCTGAACAACTGCCTGAACCGAAGAGAGAGGAGAGGAAAGGACACTTGCATAGGCACTAGTGGGCAGGAAGAAATGCCCTGGAAGGGACAGGTTTGCAGAGGGAGAGACCTGCGTGTTTGCAGGCAGGCGGCCTTAGGAGAGCGGCCTCGCTGGGGAAGTCAGTGCAGAGGAGTCCCGGCATGGTACAGGTCACAAGCAGACAGAAGGCTGCTGCCCTGCAGAGAGAGAGAGAGTGGGTGGAAAGAAGCACCTGCATAGGCACAGGTGGGCAGGGGGAGCTGCTGCCAACTGCCTGAACCTTTGAACTGGCATTCCCGTTTCTGCTCTGCTGCCCTTCCTATCCATTCGCCAGCAGCCACAAACACCTTTGCAAAGTATTGGTCAAATCGGGTCAGTAGCCTTCAATCCATACTCATCTCAGCTTCCTGATGATCCATTTGATATTGTCAGTCCTATGACCCTTCTGTTCAAAACCCTCCCAGACCTTCCTTCCTCATCTCATTATAATACAAAGTCCAGCTAATGGCCTGTAAGACTCTTCTCCATCTTCACTTCTGCAACTCTCCCTCCTCTCCCTGTTCTTCACCCTCTCTCATTTTTAGGCCTCTGCGTCGGCTAGTCCCTCAACCCGGAATGATCCTGTTACCCCACCGCTTTCTCCCCATGTCACCCAAGGCTCTGCTTAGATGTCACCTTCTCCATGAGGCCTTTTCAGATCTTGATACTTAAAATTGCAAGTCTGCTTTAGCCTGTTGCTCTCTGGCTCCCCCTTCTGCTGGGTGTCTCCCATTATGATCTCTGCACAATAGAATATAAGCCATCAGGACAGGGATTTTGTGTGCAGGGAAGCAGGAGCTAATGCAGGAAGAAGAGATACATAAGTTCTCACAAACTTACAGGCAGGTGTGATATTGATTTTGAAAGGAAAAAGCAAAGATAATGGGGTGAGGGTGTGTCTGTGGAAAGCATTTGGGCTATAGTGAGGATATTGCTTTTTTCTGAAAGCAATGATAAGGCACTGAAGACTTCTGAACAAAGGAATGCTGTGATGTGATGGGGGTTAAACATGTTGTTTTAGCTTCTGTTTTGTGATGAGACTGGGGCAAAGGCTGACGGTGGGAAACCTGTTCAGAGGTTGCTGCCATAATCCAGGTAAGATGACAGTGACTTAGAGCAGGGTGGCCACAGTGAGCTGGTGGGGACGGGCCAGGTTCCAGATTTGTTTGCAGAGAGCTGAGAGGAGTCACATAGATCAGGGGGAAGAAGGGATGAGTAAGAAGGACTTCAAAGTATCTGGCTTGTACAACTGGAGGAATAAAGTTGTGACTTACTAAAATGGGGTTCAGTCAGGGAGGGGTGCATGGAGGTAGGCCAAGGGATTCAGGAGCTCTGTTTTAGTTTGGTTAAGCTTGAATTGTCACCTAGATACCCAGAGTAGGCAGTTCGGTAAGAACCTTGGGAGTGCCTCCTGAAGGATTCAGTTTAGGTGTGTCAGAGTTGAAGAAAGTGGACTTTTTGTTAGTTGAGAGGGCGGGCTGATTGCCTTACTGCCCATGTCTTGTTCCTAGCTCAGTAACCTTGGCCATGTTTCGGTGGTTACAATAGAACCACCAGGTTTAATAGATACAAATACAAGATACCCAGCTAACTTTAAATTTTGGGGGTGTGTGTGGGTGCTCCTTGTTGGCACATGGGATTAAAGTCTGAGCGCACTCAAGCTATCCACAGCCCCTGGCAGCATGAGTTCAATCCCCAGCCAGGGAGCTGACACACATGGGGCAGCAGACCTCTCCTGTGTCACCACTGCTCCCTTAAGCAGTATATTTCAGTGAATCTACCTATTCTGCTCCCCACTCTGTCTCTGGTGAATCTTCTAACGCTCTCCCACCCCCCCCCAAACCTCTGGCCTGCATCCCAGTTCTTGTTTGCATAAATAAAATCTTAGAAAAAAAAGTTTTGTTGTTTACCTAATTTTTATAAAGTTTTATTTTGTAAAGGTTCATTATTTATGCATCCAAGAGCTGGAGTGTAGGCCAGAAGTACAGAAGGGTGAGAGGATTCACCAGAGACAGAGTGGGGAGCAGAACAGGTAGATTGATTGAAATACCCTGCTGAGGGGAGCAGCGGGCAGGCGGGCTGGCAATACAGGAGAGGTCTGCTGTGTCATGTGGTTCAGCTCCCTGGCTGGAGTCAGACTCATGCTGCAATAGTTGCTGATAGCCTCATAGTGCTAAGACTTTAAGCCCTGCAATACCAGGGAGGCCACGCTCTGCATACATATGTCCAAAATTTTGAATGGGACTGATTCATAGTAAAATGTGTTTGCCGTTTGTTTGAAATTTAATACTGTCTTTTTTTTTTTAAAAAAAAGATTTATTTATTTATTCATACAGAACTGGAGTACAGGCCAGAGATGAAGAGGGTGAGAGGATTCACCAGAGACAGAGTGGGGAGCAGAAGAGGCAGATCGATGAAGTACGCTGCTGAGGGGAGCAGCGGGCTGGTCAGGAGAGGTCTGCCAAGCCATGTGGGTATCCTCTGGGGCAGGAGGGGATGGAACTCATGAGCAAGTGGCTTAAGCTTCTTAGTGCTGTGCTTTAACCCTCTGCACCACCAGGGAGGGCCAACACTGTCTTTTTATCTGTCAACCAGCACAGTGTATTTCTGTCAAAGCTTGGGAATGTCTACATCTGGATGTTGTCAATTCTGTCTTTGTTGGCTTTCTAGATGACTAGAAAGTACCAAATCCCTGGTGTAGGCTTAGGAAGTCTGTGTCCTAAGCCAGGCTTGGCTCTAGGGGAAGCTGGGATACTAAGAGGTCCTGGGAGAGAGCGGCAACTGTGCTACTTGTTTTATACATGTGAGTTTACCAAGGGCAGAGGGCTCGTTTCCACCTTTGCCCTGCAGGTTTTGACAAGTCTGTTCATGACATTGGGGTAGTAAGTGGCAGAACTGCTGATGTTCTGAAATGCCACAATAATGCACATAATGTGGAATTTTATTTATTCTGTGAACTGCACTCAGTGACCTTTCAGCCTGGAAGCTCAGTCATGATCACCGAGCATTGGAAAATTATTACATCTCTGAAGATGTCTACGTCTCTGCCCTCTGCATTTCTCAGTTTGAATCCCCCTGACTTGGTTCTCTATTTTCCTCTCTCCTGTTTTCCATTTCTTTGTTTTTATTTTTCTTCGAATTCTGGGAAGTCCCTCCAACTTTCTCTAGCAAAAATTTATTTGTGCTCTACTATTAACAAATTTGAAGAACTTGTCTTCTGAATGTTTCTTTCCTGCCTGCCCCCTACCTCTCTTATTGGCACAATGCACAGATCTCTCTTATTGGCACAATGCACAGATCTGAATGCAATCTCTTCTCCAGTCTCTGGAGAAGTTAAAAGAATATTCATTCTCTTAAATTGTTCTTTGTTCCCTCCATTGTTTCTGTTTACCTGATCAGTTTGCTCATTTTGGTTTTGATGCTCATGATGGAGGCTTTCCTCAACCACCGGGTGACCTTTGGCTCTCTGTTCACACTTGCCACTAGAACACTAAATCTTGAACCTCCAGGTGCAAAGGCAGCGGTCACTGAGTGCCAGGCTCCCTACAGTTATTTAAGGTTTTCTCTACGGGAAATAAGGGCTCTTAGAGAAGTGGAGGAAATTTCATGAAGATGGACAGGGCACAGAGCAGGAAAGAATAAGTGAGCAACAGGAGGAAGAAGCAAATGTTAGGGAAGGTGACCAACACGTGGGGACACGGACCATGCGGAGAAGGTCACCTCTTCTCTCCTCTTCTGCTCAGACTCCATACAGGTCAGCACCCGAGGGCATAGAGTAGGGTGGAGAAGGTAAATCTGGAGGCACAGCACACATTATGTCCCAGACAGTTATTGAACCAGTTTGATGGAGGCCACCAAGTGTCCATCACCCAGCACAACACCCAGCGTCTCTCTTGGACAGTCAGTAAATATTTGTAGTGTGGTTAAATTAGGCACAGAGTGGTCATCAAATGTCTGAATGCCATAAAAATAAAGTGAAACTTTCAAACTTTTAGAAATGTAAGAGAGAAACTTCTTTAGAAAATCAAATTATACAAAGCAGCGCAATGTAAAATCTATAACCAGAGCAAAGTAGTACCGCCCAGTTGAACCTCAGGTGGAGGGTCTGGTCTCCTGCTCCTGGCCCTCCTTGTCTGAGCCTCTTTGTTCTTCTCCTGTGGCTTCTCGGAACGTCCCTCTGAAGAGACTTTGAGATATTTGAAATCTACTGTTGTCAGCCATGGGGCTGCCTCCTGAAGTAATGACCTCAGGAGCTCTCCTCTGAATGTGGGACTTCCTGACTGACTCTCGGTGAACATTTTTGTGATACTTTCATGTTCTTTCTTTCCAATCCTGCAGGAGCTCAGGGTGGCTCTGTGGCCAGGGCCATTTTGGAGAGCAAAAAGTTTGCCGTGAGAGCGCTGACCAGGGATGTGACTCGCCCCAGTGCCCTGGCGCTGCAGGACCTTGGCGCTGAGGTGGTCAGAGGGGACCTGAATGACAAAGCGTCGGTGGAGGCGGCCTTGAAAGGCGCCTATGGTGCCTTCCTGGTGACCAACTTCTGGGAACATCAGAACAAGGAGAAGGAAGTGTGTCAGGTGAGAACAACTCTACCTTTGAGCCTTTTTCTCTTCCCCTCCTTGGCTACTCAGCACTTCAGCGGGGATAACACATCAGTCTGGACAAAAATATGAACCTCACTGCACAGCATCTCTGGTGATCATGAACTATATGTACCTCAGACACTTGTTAGAGGGATGTCTGATGATGACATTAATGCAATGTAGCTCTTGTTCAAATCTCAAGGCCCAGATATGTGAGAGTGGCTGTGGGAGCCCACCACTAGATTTTCTAATTCTCACCATTTGTTCAAAGATAGCAAGTTTGGGGTGGCAATGAAATTACACTGAGAGAGAAGTCGGAAGGTAAAAAAATGTACTATATATATTTACTCTTCTGATAGAGAATTTGGGGGCGAATTAAGAATGGACACGTAGGAAAAGAAATAAGAAGCAAATAAACCCATGATGACCAATCCAGGGGAAAAAAATACTTGTGGGAAAGACATAGCCACAGCCATAGCCACAGACAGAGACATAGCCGTACTGTAGACGCAGCCGTAGATGTAGACGTAGCCATAGACGTAGCCATAGACCTAGACATAGACGTAGACGTAGCCGTAGACGTAGACGTAGCCATAGATGTAGAGATAGCCATAGATATAGCGATAGCCGTAGACATAGACATAGACATAGAATACCACATGACTGGGGTTATTGACTTAACCTCAAATGAGGTTGGGAGGATTAAATAAAAGGAAACGGGCATAGGTGTAATGGCAATGGTGGTGGTGGATTATGTGTGGGTGGGGGGTAGGCCCTAAATAACCTTCAACAGAAAACAATATTACATACAAATGAGACAATTGATCACCAAGACACTGAGGTCCACAGGAAGATGTGTTTCCTGACTGTTTCCACCAGATTGCCTGTCACCACACTCAGGATCCCTTTTGTCTCTCCTCCTTTCCTAACTTTGCTCCCCCACCCCTACCAGAGAGTCTGCGGTCTTACAGGCCAAGCAGGGGTGGGCTGAGGGATTCCCTATTGCGATATGGTAGAGGCCTTGCTGCTAATACTGGTTGCTTTCACATGATGGCTATTAGGATAGATATTGGTGCTGGGAAGTCTTTCTCTCGAAGGAGAAAGTGTGGAGGGCACTGTGTGTGCATTATAACGCATGTCCCTTTGTCCCTTAGGGAAAGCTGGTGGCGGATATCGCCAAGCCCCTGGGGCTGAAGCATGTGGTGTACAGCGGACTGGAGAATGTCAAGCGCCTGAGTGGTGGCAAGTTGGAGGTGCCCCACTTTGATGGGAAGGGAGAGGTGGAGGAGTATTTCTGGTCCATTGGCGTCCCCATGACCAGCACCCGCCTGGCAGCATATTTTGAAAATTTTCTCACCATGTGGAAGCCCGTGAAAGCCTCCGATGCGGACTACTATACCTTAGGTAAATGGGAGGTTACAAAGTTAAGCAGACACCACCGTCCTCCCCCTCTGCCACCCCTCTGTCTACAGGGGAAGCAGGTTAGGATCTAGGAATTTGGTTTTGAATACATTGAGTTTAGAAATTCTATTAAACAGTCAAGTAAGGATGTTCAGTAAGAAGCTGAATAGACGAGTCTGGAATTCAGCCAAGAACTCTGAGCTAAAGATAGAAGATCATGCATTGCACACAACAGAAACTTCGTAATTGATGACTCTCTTTTAAAAATCAATATTCAGTTATTGTGATATTTTCTTAGACAAAAGCCTGTAACTGCACAAGTGGTGGCCACAAGGCTTTATTGCAATTTCGGTCCTTTTGTTTAAATTGCCAATTAGTTCAGTTTGTTGGGACCTACCAAGGAGGTGCTATAACTCACTATTTTTACCCCCTCTTTTTTTTTTTTTTTTTTTTTTTTTAACTAGCACTGCCTATGGGAGACACACCAATGGATGGGATCTCTGTTGGGGATATTGGACCAATCATCTCTAGCATTTTTAATTGTCCAGAGGAGTTTTTAGGCAAGGCTGTGGGTCTCAGTGCAGAAGCACTAACAATACAGCAATATGCTGACATTTTATCCAAAGCATTGGGGAAAGAAGTCCGAGACGCAAAGGTGAGTTCTTCGGAGACATAAATGGGATCACCGTAGTCTACCATAGTTCATATCCTACGCATTTACCAAATGGGCTCCACTTAGGCAGGGCTGACTGAACCTTGGCTGTCAAAAGAAGTGAAGAGGATTCCAGTTCTGCAAATCTATCTTGCAGATGCACCTGTTGGTGCATCTGAATCCCATCATGGGTTTAATATTATTATCATCATTTAGTTTGAGCTCAGCTGTTTTGTTAAAAATTTACTTAGAATCTGAGGGCCAAGGTACCATTTTTTCATATACTCTCCTGACTTTCTTCTCATAAGCCTTCTTTGCTGACCAGTGAGTCAGACCTAACTCATGTGGGGCAAAGCACTCAGCCTCTGAACCTCATCTTGCAAATTAGGAGAATAATATCTACCTTGTGGTGTTCCTAGGAAAAGCAGAGCATCTGTTTCAAGGGCCTGTCATAGTAGTGTTTGGCACATAATAATGTGTATCAAATACGTATGTTGTATGTGTTACTATCCTTGAGGAATTTGTAGCAGAGTGAAAATACTAATGCACCTGAGTTCACAGTGATCAGGACAAGACACAACACTATAGGCGCTTATTTGTATCCTGTACACATCCAGTGCTAGAGTGACCAGAGAAGGGTGGAAGGCTTCATGGAGGAAGTGATGTGGAGGCAGTCTCTGAGGATGGTTAAAGCTGTCTATAGGTGGTAGTAGAGATAGTGCGCATGTCTGACTAAATCCTGGACTAAACATGACTGAACCAGAGCAGTATGGGGAAGTAAGCTAATCCTGGCTCTGCCCTTATGTTAGTGGAGTCTTGACAAGTTTATTAACTTCTCCAGGCTCAGTTTTTTCTAGAGCTGTTGTGAGGAGGAAATGAAAGATACAGGGGAGGTGCCTTGCACTAATCCCGGTACTTCATAATTCCTCAGTAACTGTTGTGGTCTAAATGATGCAAGAATGATTGCCTGCACCAGACTGTGGCTAGGAAAGGCTTTTTATGGAAAAATGAGTACAATGGATGACCATAGCATTATCAGCCCTTACTCCAAGCAGGTGTGATACAAGGAAGGAGAAAGAGAAGAGGGTTTCTGAGAAGGAAGTGTGGTTATGGCAGAGACACAATGGAGCCGAAAGGAGGACCCCTATGATCCCTCAATGCTGAGATGACTGACCCTCTTGGTCACGTGCTCCGTTTGTGAAAAAAGAGTGTTGTCTGGAGATTTCTAAGTTCCTCTCCAGTGTTCACATCTCCCCAGAGTAGGGGTCTCTTCCTCACAGAATTCAAGCCTGCTTTTGTAAATAAAAATTTAATGAAACACAGCACACCATTGTTTATGGCAGCTGTGTCTGACAGTTTTCATGATACAATGATAGATTTGATAGCTGTGAAGGAGACTCTTCTGAGCGACTCAGCCTAAACTATTTATACCCAGGCCTTGGAGTCAAAGTCTGGTGGTCCTTGTTTTCCAGAGTCAGTGACAAGTTATTTTTCACCTGAAACTCGTGCTCCAGTGCCTTTTAGTGATCATGTAGATTCCCAACTCAGCCCCATGTACCGTAATTGAGGAGACGTTTCTTCTGGAGGAAAGCAACCATAGGTGTTAGTCAGCCTCAAAGCCACATCTAGGGAGCTCACTGAAAAGCACACAAAATTTCACAGAAAATGTGAGATACTTCCAAGCCCAAGAAGATAGTTACTCACTTAAAATATGAATTCATGCCTGGATTTGGGAACTCGCTTGTACCAGGGTGCAAATTTATCTGTGGTTGACCCCTCAGGGCAATTGGGTCATCTATTCATTTAGTCTTGTGGCATTGAACTCTGTAAGAAAGAAGGAGGAAGAATGTGGATATGTGTATTTGTGTGCTTGTGTCTTTATTCGCAAAGAAGTGGATTGAGGCTTGGGATGGGCTGCAGACCTTTCAAATATAACTGGTCCATATACCTGGTGTTCACAGCAGAAGCTTTAAAGTTCTAGTACATTTTAGGCTGGGAATTCTACAGAGTAGTTAATTCTGTCTTTAAGTCATCTGTTTCAAGTCATCTTGAAGACACCCATGACAGGTCTAGAGAGGGAAAAGGGAAAAATCCCAGGCAGTGTGCGTCTCTGGGGAAGGATGCATCTGGTCACAAGATGGCGCTCCAGCCCGTGTTGGGCTCCTTCATTCTTTGATCAGAAGGTCTTGCCTGTACTGCTGGGAAGTCTTGTTCCAGGATAAGCCCTGGGCAGGAACTCTGGTCTGGCGGAACTGTCTGTCTGACCTCGCAAAGCAACATGATTCCTTTAGAGAGTGAGACATAACAGAACAAAACTATTTCCTTCAAATGTCTGAAGAAAAGAATCCTATTTTTAAGAAAGTAGTAATTTTTAAAGTTACAGGATGGGGGGACTTAGAGACACACACTGTAGAAGTCATTGTCCATGCTTCGCATATAGTCTTCTAGGTCTAAAGTCACTGACATTTTAAGATTTTCACCCTGATTTCAGAAGTAAACAAGTGCTTATTACAGAAAATTATTAAAAGGGAAATAAAAGTAAACCATATTTCAGTCTATCAGAAAGCACAGCGGTTCAGATTTAGCACATTGTCTTCATGAATAAATATAATACATGCTTAAGTAAAATAACACTATAGTTGCCATTTTGTGTCTGGCGTTTTCCACATGACAATTATTAGTATTTCCTATATTTTAAAGTTTCAAAAACATTGTTTAAATAACTGCTTGATGTTCTTAGGGTGTATTTACCATGATTCATTTTACCATCCCTCTAATTTGTGCACAGGTGGGTTATTCTTGATTTGTCATTATTTTTTTTTAAAGATGTATTATTATTTATTTATTTAAGCATACAAGAACTGGGGTGTAGACCAGAGGTGCGCGGGGTGGGGTAAGAGGAATCACCAGAGATAGAGTTGGGGAGTAGAACAAGAGGAGCGGGGGGTGGTGTAAGAGGAATCACCAGAGTCAGAGTGGGGAGCAGAACAAGTTGATCTACTGAAATATACTGCTGAGGGGAACAGTGAATGAGACAGGAGAGGTCTGCTGTGTCATGGGGGTCAGCTCCCTGGTTGGGGATCAAACTCAGGCCACAGTGCTTAATGATAGCTTGATAGTCAACAAGACACCCTGCACAAACAGGGAGACCCAATTCTATTTTTATATTAATTAATCATTGAAATTGAGGTGATATTGTGGTTCCCCCATGAGATATTACCACCAACTCACCCATATCCTACCACCACAGACCATTGTGATTTTCAGTATTTTAAATGGCATATGAAAAGCTTTGTTTGCACAAGTTGTTTGTGTTGCTTGCACTTTTCTAAGGTCAAGTGGAATAGTGAGGTGAGGGGTTTCTCTCTGGGAACTAAAGACAGATGATACTGGATCTGATAGAAATGATTTGCTATTTCATATGTGGGGGGCCAATATAAATCTAGTTCATGTCAGAAGAGACTCAGGGGTGATTTTGTGGAAGGTGCCAGAGGGTGCTCAGTGGGTATGCAGAGGGGGTGTTTCCGCTTGGGCCTGGGTCTGGGAGAGGCTCGGCTGGTTGAACCAGAAATGCTCGATTTTGATCAGGAGGAGGTGAGAGTGGAATGAACATCAGCCAGGAGGGAGGGGTCGAGAGCTCCGTGCCAGAGAAAGGGAGCCCTGAGGCTGCATGGACCAGTGAGATGGGCTGTCTCTGTGAGCTGCTGGGGGCCCCATCAGGAGGTTTTTGTGAAAGTCCATCAAGCGAAAGAGAAGTTACAGATGCTTAGTACCTTATCCAAAATGCTTGGGACGAAACAATTCAACTCTCAGACTCTTCCACTTTTAGATTGGTTATGGTCTCTGTCACATCACCAGCTGGGGGGAAGGCAGCAAACCTGTAATCAGCTGCGTCAATCCTTCTGCAGAAAACAATAGAACTCTTTCCACTAATAGGATAATGAAAGACTACCAATAACTTCATGGACTTTCAAATAAAATCTCACCACCCAAATTGTCTAGAAAAGTTGCTCAAAATTTAGTTCAGAAAAGTCAGTTTGTTGCCAAATGGCTTATGAAAAACATGTGCAGGTTTCTTGGGCTTTGGAAGTAGCAAAGAACTGTGGAGCTGTATCCTTATTAAAGTGAATGATTTCTTTTCAAACTATTTTAAATGTGGACAGTAATATTGCCTTTCTTTTGACTTGTTCTTTAAAGATCAGCCCAGAAACCTATGAGAAGCTGGGTTTTCCTGCAGCCCAGGAATTGGCCAACATGTGTCGCTTCTATCAAATGAAGCCAGACCGTGATGTGAAGCTCACCCACCGACTGAACCCCAGAGTCAAAAGCTTCAGTCAGTTTATCTCAGAGAACCTGGACACCTTCAAAGATATTTAAGCTATTCACACAAGCCGCTGACACACAACTTCTCTCCTCTCTGCTCCTGGTTCTCTTTACGCAGATAGGCACACTCAGTCTTCTTCTGTGAAAGTGATCTTGAACCCTGGCTCTGTAACTCCTCCAAACAGCTGCAGTTTTCTCAAATGCATTGATACATTCTCAGTGAAATTTCCAACCGTTTTAATTTCTTAAAATAAAAACCTTTGTAGAAGGCTCTCTGAAGAGCATGGTGTTCCATGAACAAGCACAAGTGTTGCACATTCTACCAATTCTGCTTCCAGGTTGGAGCTGCATGCTCTGATGCACTGAAATCACCTATTAAATCACTATCCAGTAATTCACGTAGTCGCCCACCCATTCTTCATTTATCAGCCAACAAACTTTGATTCAGTGTCAGCTCTGATGGCCCTTTGCAAAGGGCACTCTCATCCCCCCAGCAATGAACTCGATGCAGCTTAAGTTCTCAATCCTGGAAAGAGGGTTTGGATGAATTTCTTAAAAGGGAAAAGGAAAGAAAAAACCCTCAACTAAAAATAGGTGGATTATTTCTCACCTGGGGGGGCCGGGCAGGAAGAATGGCTGCTGCTTCTTAAGTAAACCTCAGTGTCACTTACACATGGCGAGGCTGTAGCCTGCAGGTCCTGTGGTCGGTCCTGCTGTATGTACACAGGGGACGGGAGGTTAGGAGCTTTCAGCTTTGGGGCGAGGCCAGGTGGCTCTGGGCCAACCTGGAGTCCACGAGAAGCCCTTTGGTTTGGAAGGAAACTTTCCAGTGGCTGATTTCAAACGAAGACAACCTACCTGGTAGCACAAAACCATACTGGGGAAGGAACTTAGAACGTCAGTCTAAAACCTACTGTTATTCATTGGTAGTAGACAGAGGACTCCACCAGCACCTTCTGCTCTCCCCCTCAATAGTCTCCAGGAGGCTGAGAGAAAAAGAAAAGCCTCCTTTAGGAGTTGCTCAGTGTAGACAAGTAGGGACCCGATAGAGGTGCAGCAGGTGGAAATGGGGGCAGTGTGGCACAATACACAAAACCATCCTCTGCTGTCCAGGAGTGACTTGGGCGAGGTGGGGGTCTGGAACAGAAGGGACACAGAAGAAGCACTTGTCCTGTGAACCTGCATGTGTTCTTAGAAACCCAGGTTATAAAGTCAGAGGATGCTGCATGTGATTCCTGCCTTTGCCAGCTACTAGCTGGGCATGTTACCTGGCTTCTTTGGCCTTTGTTTCCATACCCTTCAGGGGATGCCGGGAGGAATTCAAGAACGAAAGTGTGTAAGGACACTGGACAGCTTCTGGCAGACAGTGAACACTCAGTAAACAGTAGCTGTATTTATTATTGTCAAGAGTGTTTCCTGCACTTGCCCCTGCATGTGGCACTGGGAGGGGGAGGTGCCCACCGTAGTGCCCACCCACTTCTGTGTCCAGACAGCAGGTTCTTGGGGCCTGGCGTCCCTCTCTTGGGGGCCTCCTCAGAGCCTATGTCCTCTTACCCGCCACTAGATGGCAGGACGAGTCTAGCATGAGAACGGGCCCCTCCAATCTTATCCCAACTGGCTTTCTCAGCCCCAACAAGGCTCAAGGGGACAGTTACAGTTCTTCAGACACTCTTATGCTCTCAGTCACCTTCTCAGGCGCCATCAACATACACGCGCTGGGTCTCTGTCTTGGCGCCTGGCACTTTGGGATTACGAGGTTTCTATGCCTGATTTGGGGTTGAGGAAGGAAAGGGAGAGCTAGGGTGTTATCCAAAGGCGCCAGCACTGGCTGGCCCACCCCACTGGCTGAGAGAGGCCCAGGGGCGGGGCGGAGGGCCATCCTCCCAGCGTGCCCAAGGGCCTAAGAGCCTGTTGGCTCAGAGCTGGAAGCCCTGGTCTGGGCAGCCTGGCCCTTGGCTTCCCCTCTCAAGGGACTCCTCCAACTCTGAAGTTCCATCAGCAGTCACAGGGTCAAAGACGATTCCCCAGAAGAAGATACGATTAAAAAAAGGAAGTATGGGCCCTCCCTGGTGGTGCAGCGGGTTAAGGCACAGCACTAAGAAGTCAAAGCCACTTCCGCATGAGTTCGATCCCCGCCTGCCCTGGAGGTGACCACATGGCGTGGCAGACCTCTCCTGACCCGCCCACTGCTCCCCTCAGCAGTGTACTTCGTCGATCTGCCTGTTCTGCTCCCCACTCTGTCTCTGGTGAATCCTCTCACCCTCCGCATCTCTGGCCTGTACCCCAGTTCTGTATGAATAAATAAATAAATTAAAAAAAAAAAAAAAAGGAAGTACATGCCGGGTAGTTGCCCGACAAATAACTGCATTTTCAGAGCAGTTGTTCAACTTCTGGACACCTTGCAGAAATGAACCGGGAGGCGAGAGCCCCCTCACCTATCACCACCTCCAGGGTTCAAGTCCTTACTTCATTTCTGAAGGGTTATTCATATGCCGGTTGCAAGAATATTAAGGATGCTCAACCTTTGATTTGGCAGTAGTACTCCTAGGAAGCCCTCTTAATAAACACAGTAATGATAAAATAAAATTTCCAGGATTTTATGAAAGTGGTGTTCATGAAGTTCATGGACATCTAAACATTCAGCTTTAATGGAAAATTATATTATTGAATAGTTAAATTTCCTGGATTATAATACCTTTAAAACTAACATTTGTAAAGATTTTTACTGAAGGAAAAAAATCTTAAGTTTTAAGTGAAAAATGTAAAATAACATCATGCTTAATTGCCATTGTATAGAGTATACAATTGTTAATAATCGTTTTAATTGAATAGTGAATTTTGTTTGATTTATATTTTTTCCTTTCAAGTTTCTTCTTCTCCCCACTTTTCCATTATAAAAATGTTTATTATATGCTCATATCTTATGTAAATAAGATACTTTTAAAATTTAACAAATATCATATTGGACTAACTCTTGCTTATGTTTTGGTGAATATAATGTTTATTATTTGTGCATCTTTACTATGTACCAGTCACTATGCTAGAGTTGTGTATATTTCTTTCATTAGATCTTTGCATCAATTCTTTAAGATTATTACTCCTTTTACAGATACAGAAATATCCTTCAGGGAGCTTATGTAATTTGCCCAAAGTCACACAATTAGTAACAGAGTCAGAATTTAAATTTGTCAGTCAGTTGAAAGGGGTCAATTATACAGTAAAAGATAAAATTGGACTTTTAGTAATGAATTTCATGTATCATACAGGGATACTGATTTGTAATGCTGCACACCTGAAACTTAAATAATGTCTTAATACAATGTTACTTAAATAAAAATCTAAGAAATTATATATATATAATATTTAGGCCTGTTTCCAAAGCTTTCCACCATAATAGAAACTTCACCAACGCAATTTTCAAGTTATGAAACAATTGGGTCATCAAATTCATTCAGAATTCTTAGAAACACTGTTGAAATGCTGACCTAGGACATTATAAAAATAACTCTCCAAAAGGTTATAAAGAAACCACATCTACTCATATGCTGTGAAACTTCAACTTCATTAAGATGTTTCTTGCTAAGCCCTCTTCCTAGAAGCACATACAGGGGAATAATGACAAGCTATCTTTATTCCTGACAGATATCTTACCCCCCAAATCATGCATTTGTACAGAAAGAGAAAGCTAAGCCACTGTGAGCCTTTGGGACAGGCAAAAGCCATGAGGTCTGCATGGATGATTGGGAGAACAACCAAGATAGGGGTGGTGAGGATCCCCTGCCTGGAAACCTAGGAGTTCCCCAGGAAGTTTTGGGGGTACTAAATACAAATATTTCCCAAAGCCTAGTGGATAAGTGAATGAAATATACCAGATGTGAGACCACAGAAAATAGTGGGATTATAGCAATGAAAGACTATAATCCAAACTCCAGGCATTAACAATAAATTTTAAAAGAAATACAGCAATAGCAAACAATTTGTTCCAACTGTTTCTAAAATGATAGTTTTCTGACCATAACATCTAACAGCTAAATCTGATTTTGTGGAAGGTCAGAGACGTATGGTATGCAAAGGGCTTGATCACAAGGGGGAGGAAGAACAAGATAGCAATGTCCCCTGATGTGGTGATATTGGGGCAGTGCTGGGCCAGGACTTGAGGACTGAAGAACGTGTTGGTACAGCTGCTGCTGCTGTATTTGTGTATCTTTATAAATGAAGCATTGCTTCATTGGGTCTAGCCAAAATTTGGCCATGGGGGAAGAGAAAGAAGCAAGAAACCAACATTTGCTGAGAGCAGCACTGTTTCATCATTTCAGTGAAGCCTCATAATCTCCCTAAAAGTGTATGTGGCAAAAATTAGCTACATGTTTATTAAACCTGTTTCCTCATCTTCCCGGGCACACAGCTGGACCTCATTTCCCATGTTTTTTGCCATTAATTGCAGCCATATGACTATGATCTAGACACTAGCATGTGAGTAGCAGTGATGGATGCCATCGCTAGGCCTCGCATAGGACATCTCCATTTGTCACAGTTCTTTATCATCTTTTCTTGCCTTTGGATTGGGGACCTTGAACACTATGCTGGAAAAATGGTGAAGCTGGACAAAGAAAGGGACTCAAGCACCTAAATTCGCTCTTGGAGCACAGTAGCCCATAGACTGATAACAACGGTGGTGGACTTTGTGTGAATTAGAAATAAACTTCCATAATGATAGAGCATTTACATGTTTTTTTGTGTGTTTATTACAGTGGCTAGTATTGCTTTACCCAATATGGTGCTTTTATGCTTATGATAGAGACAAGTGAACAGGCTCAGAGAGGTCAGGTAATTTGCCCAAGATCACACAGTGTGTGAAGTGGTGTTGTTACAAGGTAACGCATGTAAGCTGTAAAATAATGAGTTTGAACTGAAGTTTATTTGGTTCCTCAGTCCAGGCTCTTCCTGTAACAATATACTTTGTTCAATGCAATGGATAAATTCTGTAGTGGCTAATTTGTGATTTCTCATTTTATTGTAATCAACTCTACCAAACTCCCTATCCCCCAACTTGAGGCACACCTCCAAAAAGCAAGAAATGGGAGGAAAGAGAATATTGGAAGTGGGGAGGGGAGACCAAGTCATCGGAATTTTGCACTAACCTCAAGTTGCCGAGGGGGAAATGCACAGTCAGCTTCCAGGTGTTTCTCTTGAGACCCACGTAGGGGCTGAGCAGAGCAGAGTGAGGCTTGACTATCTGGGGGAGTTTGTGGATTTCCAGTGGCACTCTGCTTG